CACCCCCCACCTCGCCGCCGCCCCAGGCTCCCAATTTCGCCCAAAGAGCCTTTAGCAGTTACGGTTTCCATCAGCTTTGTCCTTGCGTCACGCCGGTTTGAAAGCCCAGAAAGCCCATCAGTCTCTGGGACCCTGGCAGCTTCCTCCCGCGACTCACTCCACACTTTCATTCTGCTGGTCTGGCGGTCCCGGTTTTTACGCAATAACCGGAAGTGTCATTTTTGTTCTTTCTCAGTAACTGCACTGGGAAACTCTGTCTACATGCACGATCCCACACGCCTTCTAAAATCCCCACTTTAAGGGCTCCAAAACAGCTTTCCACTACTCAGCCCAGGCTTGGGGTTCCCCAGACGGGTTTCTTTTCAGGAGCTTCTCACTCACAAGGCTGTCTGTGTAGCACAAGCCAACACAGCAAACATCCTTTCTGCTTCTTCCGAGGCTCAAGTCCGCTCCTGGACCACATACAGTAGACGCTTTCAGCTCAGGACTGCGGGTTGGGGCCGCGGGGGCGGCGGAGACGCCCAGCCGCGGTGGCGCTCCCAGGCCGGAGGCAGAGGTGCTGCCCGAGGACGGGCGCGGCTCGCAGGTCCCTGGCATCCTGCGATGCGTCCTCGACCCGCCAGCCCATCGCGACCGTCAGAAACCTCAGACACCGCATTGTGTCACCAGGCAGCATGCTCTCTTGGCCCCCGCCGCCCTTGCCTACCTTCTGTCGGCCTCTCGGGAGCGCCCGCACAGCCGGCCGCCTGCCTCCAGTGCTCTGCAAAGCGAAGGAGGACGCTTTGTTATGGCTCGAGAAGCGGGACAATACTTCGCAGCCGGCGCTGCGGTTCCAGGCGGGCGTCCTTCCAAAGGACGTGAATGGAGACCCTCGCGAGCGTCATTTCCATATGTAAGCGGCCAGGACTTAGAAAAGCGCGGCTCTCTGGGGCTGCAGGCTGCTGCGCGCATCCTCCCCACCCCCGCCGGCCCGCCCCCCATTAGTGCAGCCGGTGCCTCAGGACGAGCCCCTCCTCCTTGCCTACCAAGCCGCCCCCTCCCCGCCTCGTCCCCCGGGAGAGCCCAGTCCGCCGGGCTACCGCTTCCTCCCGGCCGCCCCTTGTCCGGCCCGCGGGGATAGCGCCCGCCCTGGCCCCGGAAGGGGAAGCCCATGCCTGTCCCCAGTACTGGTCCACCTCGGGCGCGCAGGGCCTCTCCGACGGCGCGGGAACAGTGCGAGGCCTCCGCTCACCCGTCAGACCACGGGTGGGGGGTAGCCGGGTACCGCAGTCTCGCTTACCGCGTCCCGGGGCTCAGGCGCCCGGCGCCGCCGCGGGGACCATGACCGCGAGCACACTCAGGGCTCGGCGGCGGCAGCAGCAGCGGCACAGCTGCGCCCAGCGCGCTCGACTACCGCTCGGCCGCTGCCACCCGGAGCTCTGGACGCCGGGGAGGAAGGGCCTGGCCGCGCGGGGAGGAGGAGCCACGGGCGACGCCTGCCCGGACTCGGCGGCTCCTCCTCCGCGGCTCGCACCGCCCCGGCTGCCAAGGGAGGAGCGCAGGGCGCTGCCCGGGACTTTGCAGGGTCTCACCGCCGGTCGCCCTGAGCCTCAGGCCACGAGGACTGCTCCGGTCGCCGGAGTCAGGAAGAGCCCAGTCCCCGCTTGGCTGCTGCGAAACGCTGGGGCGGCCGCTTCGGAGATCTGAACTTCGAAACGCCAGAACTCGGAGGCAGCTTGGAAGAGGTCTGGCCAGGAGGTCGCCCCTGGGCGAGGGCCGGCGTATCTACTCTACTGGTCCCCGGCCTGCTCGCTTCACTTTCCTTCCAAACACGCCCGCACACACACGGCTTCCAGAACACCCCCACCCGCCCCCAGCCAGCGGGACGTGAAAGTGGAGATTTAGGCTCCTCTCTTGCTCCCAGGCGGCGCTAGATTTCCCAGCCCTCGGGCGCCCCGTGGCCTTCAGAGGAAAAGGGGTCCGGGAGGCAGACGGGCTCGAGACTTGACACTGAACCCGCTGGAGCGAGTGTGACAACTCCACCAGTTCTAGATTGGCATCCGCACCTGCCCACGCCGTCCTGATAGACTCCTGCCGCCTGAGCAGCCTCTGCGGGTACATCCAACCCTCAGACTCCAATCACACCGCACGGAAACGCCTTCGAGTTGGTGGTTCTCTGGCCAACAGTTGCTCGCTATTAACTGCTTCCTCCTAGCCCTACCTCTACTGCTCTTAAAGTCCCCGTTTTCTCTCTCCGCTCTACACGTCTGATCTCAGTGCAAACAAGATCCTAAGTCCAGGCCTAGAGGAGGCGGCTGCCCACTGAAGGAAACACCTAACACTCACTGAGCTGCAGGTTTAAATGTGCCCTTGAAGGAGCTGCTCGATTTACTATAACCCACAAGTCTGGTTATTTCAGCAAGTTACTGGAAAAAACTCCCTAGCTACTGGAAGAACAAGGGTATACAGGAAGGAAGCTAGCATTTATTGACAATCGACAATGAGCCAGAGACTGTATTGAAAGCTCCACAGAAAGTATTTTACTTTATCTTCACGCTACCCTTAGGAGGTAGGCATTATTATATGCACTTTGCAAATGAGGAAACTGTGGCCCAGAAATTAAGGAACTTTCCTGGGAACACACAACTAGTACGTGGCAGACCTTGGATTCAAAAGCAGAGATACATGTGATAAAATAGCACAGAACTAAACACACACACGAATGAATGCATGTGAAACTGATGAAATCTGAATAAAGTTCCAGGACTGTATTAATGTCAATTTCCTGCTTGTGATGTTGTTGCGTGACCTCAAGTTGATTCCGACTCGTAGTGACCCTATAGAACAGAGTAGAACTGTCCCCATAGGCTTTCCTAGGCTGAAATCTTTACAGAAACAGAGAGCACCAGTCCTTTTCTCCCCTGCGGAGCCTCTGGTGGGTTCCAACCGCTGACCTTTAGGTTGGCAGCCAAGCTCTTAACCATTGCACCACCAGGGATCCTTCCTAGTTTTGATAGTGTACTACAGTCATGCAAGACGTAACCATTGGGGAAAATGGGGTGAAAGGAATACAGGATCTCTATTATTTCTTACAATTTCAGGTGAGTCTACAAAGATCTCAAAATAAAATGATTTTAAAAAATCAATCTTGTTTTAAAACCCACGATCTCTTTCTTCAACACAGTGTGCCTGAAGAATAAGGAAGAGGTTTACACTCCTTTCTCCCTCTTTTTAACACTCGCCTGTAAGTGCATACCTGCATGCACACCCACTTATATACTTCATGCCTAGCTCTTCAGTCCAATAATAACTATACAACACAAACATTTGTCATTAACAGATATCTATCTAACCTATTACCAGAATACTGACATAGAGGTCACTTTATAAATAAGAGAATAGTGTTCATTCACTGGGGACTAAAACAGCCCACAGCCTCAGAATGTATGAACGGTCATTCTGCCCATGCCTTTCATATCAGGTCCTAGATCCCGCTTCCTGGCATTCAAAGCTCTATTTTATCTGTGAAAATATATGTATCCCCAGCCAACCTACTCTCCCTCCCCTTTTTTCACGTGTCTGAATGTTTCCTCTGCTGGTCTTTCTGTCCTAAGGCATATTTGATGCCATGCCTCTGTCCACTGTTCTTATTTGGTCTAGCAGTTAAAACCTGGCAGGAAGTGATTATTGAACGCATGCCTTTTGGATCTCATGGACTGAGCATTTAGGTGCTTTCCAAATACTTGGTGCTCACATGGAGAAGAGATGTTGCATGTGTGTGTATATGTGTGTGTGTGTGTGTGTGTGTGTGTGTGTGTGTGTGTGTGTGTGTGTGTGTGTGTGTGTCTGATCTTCACGTTTGGAACTCTTTTAATGAGACTGGAATCTGGAAACCTTCTACTATTCTAAAGACTGTAAGAGCCAAAGGACTGCCACTATGGCTTTATTCAGAGGAAAAGTAATGAAATTTTATTTCAAGAAACATTTTGATGTTCCTTCCCCTCACAGGCTCTTAAATACTTAGCTACTATGCTACTATGAAGTGAAATCTTTGCTTTTTTAAAAAAGACTTCAGCATGGAAAATGACATAATATTTTTTCTCAAGCAAGACTACTTTAAATTTTCTAGAATTTGATGCGCACACAAAAGAAATGGGAATCCTGAATCATATATTTTAAAACAGTGCTGTCCGATAGAAATATAATGTGAGTTACATGTGCAATTTAAAATTTTCTAGTAGCCACATTAAAAAAGATTTGAAAAACAGTGAAATTAATTTTTGTAATATATCTTATTTAACCCAGTATACCCCACACTGGATGTACCAGACTCCTGGGCCCAGGCCCGTCCATTCCAGCACTCCCTTCCTGTGAGGGTTCATCGTTGACACAAACAGCTGCCTCGGAATAAGACTAAAACCAAAACCCACTGCCATCCAGTCGATTCCTCATAGCGACCCCAGAGGGTTTCCAAGGCCGTAAATCTCTACCGAAGCAGAGACTGCCACGTCTTTCTCCCACGGAGCCGCTGGTGGTTTCAATCCAACATTTCAGTTAGCAATCAATCACTTTAACCACTGCACCACCAGGCCTCCTTCGGAATAAGGCACAGTTTTGAAAAACATTAACACACACACACACAAACCCTCCAAACCCACTGGACCCAAAAGTATTAAAAAAAATTTTTTTTCAGAAGAAAATAGCCCAATATGCATACTAATGACTTGTTAATGCCTGCCCTACAGCCTGCCTGCCTGTCTTCTTCTGGGCTCTGTCCGAATCTGCAGGGCTCCCAGCAAAGAAAAGGCTGGAGGCTGAGTCGGCAGTCACTGCTATGCCTTGCTGTTTGTCAAGAGAACTAGAGATGTGTGGGAAGGACGGCTTCTAACTGGTTTGTTCCAGTTGGAACCCCTGCTGAGAATTTGCATTTCTAACAAGTTTCCAGACGATGCTAATGCTGTTGGTTAGGGACCAATTCTCAGAACCGCTCGTAGAGCTCAACCCAAACCCACTGCCACTGAGTTGATTCCGACTCAGAGCGACCTTAAAGGAAGAATAGAACTGCCCCATAGAGTTTCCAATGCTGTAATCTTTACGGAAATGTACTACCATATCTTTCTCCCACAGAGAGGCTGGTGGGTTCAAACCATCGATCTTTTGGTTAGCAGCTGAGCACTAACCACTGCACCACCAGGGCTCCTGCTAGTAGAGCAGCGGTTCTCAAAATTTATTATATATAAGAATCACCTGGGGATCTTGCTAAAATTTAGATTCTGATTCAGTATATCTGTGGTGGAAGTGCAAATTCTCAGCAGGGGTTCGAAATGGAACAAACCAGTTTGAAGCCCTGTTGGGAAGGGGGCTTCTCCATCCCCACCCAACCCACATCAGCTCCTACCAGCATCCTGAGAACTCATGTTGTTTTCCTTGATTAATCTCAAAGGCCTTGAAACAACTGAGTGACCCTTTTTCCTTCACACTGCACATTTTATAGTACGTTACATTCTGAACCAAGCCAAAGCTGAATGCAGGGAAAACGACCATTTCAAACACAGAAAATAGACCAAGACGAAGAGAGCATTGCTTCCAATAATGAAGACATTTGGGATTAAATTGAAAAATGAGGGCATC